AATTAGAATGCAAGTAATCAGGTTAGCAGAAAATTAACTTTTAAAAAAATCAATGGAAAATGTCAATTGATATTTTTTTTGACATTTGTGGGGTGACAAAAGTCTGTGGGGGTCCTCTGAAGGTACCCTCGCAATTTCAGAGTTTTGTCACCTCTAGAACCCCAAAATCCCAAAATCCACATATTATTATTAACTACAATAAACAAATGGTTAATTGTTAATTGTCTTGCACTCAATACGCTAATAGATATTAGTTTTGTCAAGTTTTGTCGGCCTTTAATAATCTGCTAAATCATCTTCCAAGGGTGGAAACTCGGTCGAGCGTGAGAACCACTGCTTTCCTATTTTCGGCAAACGAATTTTCGGCTAGCTTCCACTCCATCTTCCTGACAGTCGTTTTTATTGGATTTCTTGTTGTGCAATAGTGTCGTCGGGTTTATCACAGGTGAATACTATTGAAAGGGACATTCATGACGGTTGTAACGTCCGGGGGGTGACAGTTGACTGACTTGTACTTTGGATTTTGCCCACGTGGTATGACGAAAGTGCTTACCAATCCTCAATCTGGGGTAAAAACGTGTACTTAAGAGTAGTTTCACCGCATTGCCATTTACTGGTGGTTTGAAAAATCGTTAGGACAGACTCTTTGTTGCGCAATTTTACACAATGCCGTGCCACCTGCATAGCGGTAGTCACTTTTGTCATGTTTCAGGTCTTGACAAACGTGCTAATTAGCATGAAACATTTTTTTTCTCGGTTATCGCGTTTCTAAAACATTTCTTTTTGGACTTGGTTTCATTGTACGTTGCGACACGTTCTGTTTGACTGGTATTCGTCACACGGAGCGAATAATTTAAAAGAAAACATGAAATTGAGTAATCAGTTAGTGTGACCTTTCAAGAATTTTTACGTCAAATCTGCAAGACAATGAAATCACTGTAGTAAAAATTACGACTTTATTTTGAAGTTCTGATTTAACGAAGCGGATTTTTTACTAGAAGTAATGTTAAAAAATGAGTATTTATAAAGTATCTTATATATCTTCTTCGAAAAGGAGATTTCCTAAATTTATTTTAAATTCTTGAAATGTTTTGTAACGTTCCGAAATGCAGAATCCAATTTGGCCGTTCGAAGTTTCATTTCAGTTTAACAAAATTTAACAAACAGTTTAACAAAATTTGTAACTTTTTCACTGAAACAGGGCTTAACGTAATTTTCAAAAATCGAATTCAATTTCACGAGCGGCATCACTGGAATGTCCTCGAATGCATCGTTTTAACCTCGGGATTCTTCATTTTTTCAGGTTTGATGATGGAAAAGATGGGTTCCTGGATCTTGCTGAGCTGAAGAGAATGATGGAGGTCCTTGGAGCACCCCAGACCCACTTGGGGCTCAAGGCCATGATCCAGGAAGTCGATGAGGATGGCGATGGTCGCATCTCGTTTCGCGAGGTGAGTGACTCCTTCATTTCCTTTATGAGTAACAAATATTTTTGGTTTTGGCTTTCACTCGTTAAATGCGAATGAAAATGGCTCTCAAGTGGGAGGCCACAGGTTTCTGTAATAATTTCGGCATTGAATGGGGGAATTTCATGGCAATTTCAGGACCCAACACTTTTGCGCCTAACGGCAGACATTGTGCGAACGATAATTGATATTTACGATCGCTGAAGCTTCAATTTAACCGGAAATGTCATAACGTCGGAGTCATTCTCGGTTATAACGCGATGCTCACTACTTTGGTGGCGTTAAATTTCCCAATTCGTTAACAATCGAATTGTCTTCAGCTGTAAATTATATGAAATTACGTTACCATTAATTTTACAGCTTCAAAATGGCCCTAATCGTAAATTGGAGAAATTGGCGGAAAATTAGGGGGAGAAATTTTCATTACTCAAGTGGGGGCCGTAAAGGTAACTCGATAGGTCGCAATTTACGAGATACGGCGAAGTGAGGAATTGGTCATTCGTGGAAACCATGGGGAAATGCGAATTTTTATAGATGTTATACCTGGAGTTACTGTGAATCATATAATTCCGTTTTGTTCCATGATCATTCGAATTACTCACCGGGAAAGATATTTATTGCGCCATAATAGTTTACTGTTGTTCATAATTTAGCTGAAGTTGTTTCACTGGTCAATATTTTTTTGAAAATATAGCGAATTCGCTCGAAAATTTTATCCTATTTCCTTGGAAAAATTCGATAGATATTTTGTTTATTGCAGTCTTTGCTCTAACAATTCTTGAGCATGAATTTTGGAAGTTATTGTTTTTGATTTTGGTGATGAAAAACAAAATAAATGCACGGGAGGAAATGCAAGAAAAATTCGAGAAATGAGTCGTAAAAAATGTCGATCTATTGACTTTTTTCTGAATAAAAGTGCAATACGAATTTAATAGGATATCCGCGATCGTGCGATTCCCATTCAATTTTTTCACACGTGACCGCGGAAAGGTCAGCAAAATCTAGTTGTTCCTTTCTTTTCCCGTGATCGTTTTCAGTATTCGCCGAAAGAAAACATTCCTTACATCATGATAATTGTCTATTCTTCACATTTCGGTGAGAATTTCTTCATTATTCGTATTTCTGTTTGTTTTCAGTTCTTGCTGATCTACAGAAAAGCTCATGCTGGAGAATTGGAGCAGGATTCCGGTCTCGGGCAATTGGCCAGATTGACAGAAGTAAATGTCGACGAAGTCGGAGTCACTGGAGCTAAAAATTTCTTTGAAGCTAAGGTAAATTGCTCGAAAAATCTCCCATCAATATTTGAACTGAATGATGTCAACTACAATCACTAATTTTTATATTCTTATTCACTTCTTTATACACTTATTCACGGTATGCACTCCATTCGAAATGGAGTGGCAAATTTTAGTTGTGAGAATCAAATATCATCCACATGTTTTCTGAAAATACCGAAAAGTGAAAGGGAATTGATCAATGATTCAAAATTATTGATCAATTGTTCAGTCATTACTCACTTTTACCATTGATTGAGTTTTTTTCTATGTATCATTCATTTTTATAATATAATGCGTCAATGAGTGATTCAAAACATTTGAACTTTAAATGAAGAAAATGAAGCTTCCCACAAGTAAATAAGGTTTTGATTGATTTATCAATTGAAATTTATTCACTGTACATTATGTTGCACATAATAAAGTAATGATAAAGTCAAACAGCAGAAAAATAAGAGGAAATGACTAGAATGACGCAGAATGAAGTGGAAGATTGCAAATAATGCGTACGCGGGGCTCACAATAAGAAAAGAGCGAAAAGGAAAAATGATGGATCAAGGTGATACATCAAGGCTGGCTCCGATCTAGCTGAAGCTAGACACAAGATAAGATCCCTCAGATAGAGTAATAAACTTGAACTTGAATAAATTGTTCCTTCAATTTCTATTCTAGATTGAGCAATTACGAAAGTCAAGCAAATTTGAAGATGAAATTCGAATGGAGCAGGAGGAACGACGACGCGAGGAGGAGGAGAAGGCAGCAAGGCGTGCGCAGTTTCGCGAGAGAGCTGCTATCTTCGGAAATAATTAAGTCTGAGTTTACAAGTGTAGAGTTACGTATTATCTTACAAAATGTGGAGGCTTTTTATCAATTCTCTGGACTAATTTTAAATAGCTGCGCAATATTACACCCAGACATCCTCCAGATTACCTATTATCGGTGTTATTTAGGCAACGAAATTGTAGTTTAGAATGAAAGTGTTGAAAGTGTCTCAAAAATTATGAACTGTTGGCATGTAATTTCATTCAAGTTTTAGGAATTTGAGAGTATAAAAAAAAGATTTGCGCGAAATATTTTAGCCTTGAGAGAGCGCAACTGGAAGTGTAATAACTTAAGTGTTTAAAGTGTAAGGTTTCTCTTTTTTATTTTATATCGTCGTGACACCTCATGAATCATTGTCATTTATCGTCCAATGTCAGACGAGTAACAAGAAATCTCATTGATAGAAACTTTTCATTTCGTTATTAACTAGGACATATCACTTTTAATTGATAGTTTTCTTCGTCAAACTTTCTTTTACATTCATGTGTACATAAAATTATTTCTCGTTTCTTCATTCATTGATGTAATGTCTTAGATTTTCAAGGTTTTAAGAATGTTAATTGTGATAAAATAAAAGAAATTATTAAACTAAATATATATGTTGTTTTTTGAAGTTCACAAAATATGAAAAAAATTAAAAAATTAAAAAACGATTATTATTATTTTTCTATATTAAAAAAAATAAAATATGAAAAATTTAATATTTTAAAATTATTTTTTATGAAGTTAACCATTTGAATGGATATTTTTGAGTGAAAATTTGACTAATTAAATTGCACTATGGAATTTTGAATTTTTTTGAAGTACACAAATGTCGAACAAAATGTTACTGCCTTCTTTATCGACGCTTGGAAACAGAAATGATTATTTTCATAGTGACCACTACAGAGACCCTAAAAACCCCTCACATAATTTTTTTCCCTCTCTCTCGTTGGTTTTTTTTGTGGGTTATTGCGGTTTTTTGGTGAAAACCAAATAACCTACAAAAGATACACAGCTGATTTTTACTTTGAAAATTGTAGATAGTTGAGTGTTGTGACGGAAGAGCGGTTTTGGGGAGAATTGAAGGGAGAGGATCATCGGTTTATTTGAGGAATCGTCGGTTGTAAGGTTAGAATATCGTCAACAAACAGCACTTTGTTCGTTAATGAGAAAGTCCGAGTATTTCGACAATTTTTTTCTCATTCAAAGTTTCCTCACCATTAGATTGTTTCATTCATAATTCATAATTAATAAATAAACAATTTTTTTCTCTGCAAGTAATATTTTGGAATCCGCAATATCATTATATTCATAAGAAGAAAATGTTTGGAAAAAAATGTGTTGAATAATTTTAATTGTATCTATGTCGTCGAATTTACCCCCCGGAATTATTTCTATGACGACGTATTTTCAATGGAATTCAACATTATCCCAACGTTAAATTTTTTTCCCTTTCCCTGAAAATTAGTTGCAAAATAAATTTTTTTAACAACAGATGATGCAATCAAGTTCATAATTGACCTCGATTGGGATGCCATTGGAAAGTATATTTTAAATCACAATGGGATTCATCAAAACAATTAATCATTAAAAAGAAAATAATCATAATATTATTAATATATATATTTTTTACATATTATTATTATTATTATTATTAATTATTTTTTCGGTTATTGTCGAAAAACGATCGGCCACATGTACACACGTACATTCTGAGGCCAAAATGAATTATTCTGACACAAAAAAACAGAAAATTTCAGATTTCCAATAGTTCCATCTGGAACCAAAATGATCCAAAACTCAATGATTGAGATAAACTGTTTTCCCCCCAAAATATTTAAAAACATGTGCAGAAAAGCTATTACGAATCCCTTTATCGATCACCTCACGTGAAATATGACAATACAATTTTTTTGTTGCTAGGCAAATTCATGAACTCGACATGATGATGCTCACACTCTACTGTGCTGTCCCCCTGATCCTCGGGTTTTTATCCAGAATACTTTACCTGATCGTCATCGATCGCGGCAGAATTCCCAGTGGACGAAAAACTATTAGAACGTTGATAGTCCTCGGTTCTGGGGGTCACACCACTGAGATGTTGCGCATAGTGAAGCATTTAGACATTTCAAAATACACTCCCCGAACCTACATTCACGCACAGACCGATAAAATGTCCCCGTCGAAGCTCGTGGACATTGAGGGGAGCCGAGGGGACTCGAAAGTCCTCCGAATATTCAGGAGTAGACAAGTTGGCCAGTCCTACTTCACTAGCATTGGCACCACCCTCGTCGCATTCTTCCACGCTATGAGATTATTACTGTCTGAACGTCCTGACTTGATACTCTGCAATGGTCCCGGCACTGGAGTCCCTCTGTGCCTGGGCTCGTTCATCCTCAAGATTTTTTTTCTCAGTAAAACGAGAATCATCTTTGTCGAGAGTTTTTGTAGAGTCAAGACTTTTTCACTCTCGGGGAAAATTTTGTATTTCGTCGCGGATCATTTGATTGTACAGTGGCCAGAGCTTTGTAATAACAACTCCAAATTTGTGCATTTGATTAACTGATTAAATTATTTTCACACATTATTATTGATTTTTCTATTCTTGTGCACCTTTGATCTTGCAGAAATGGCTGAGGGAATAGCTCCGCTGACTGGAGATGTTTGTTGGGGAGTTTTAATGAAAAACTGCGAGAATCGTGTGCCCAATGAAATTAAAGCCCACGTGGTGCCTATTTGCAGAGCCCTTGAGGGTGCAATCAGATCTAATGAGTTGAGTCATTGTTTGGAATTTGATTTAGTAAGGGGGGGGGGAATGAAAACTTAATTATTGAGGAGATATTCAGGACATGAACATGACTTCGTCATTCAATTTTAGTCTGGGCTTCTTATGAATGAAAAATTTATTTTTCGTGGGGAATAATTATCTTATTTCATACAGAATTTAATGAATTATTACCGTCAAAGATAGAGAGATCTTTAGAATGAACGGGATAAAATTTTTAGGAGTATTTTCGCTGTATTGTTCAAAGAAAACAAAACTGGAAAGAATGGAAATTCCTCGTATTTAACTAGATTTCGCACTGAAAGTAAAAAACATGTCAAACATGTTCTGTTTGAATAAAAGATAGAGAAATCTTTGCAATAAACGGGATCCAATTTTTATGAGTATCTTTTCAGTATTTTACAAAGAAAAAAAAATAGATTTCGCGCTGAGAAAGAAAACATGTTCTCAAACATGTCCTGTGTAAATAAAAAAATCGCTAATCGAAACTTAGCAAGAGGAAAATTATTTCATTTAAACATACGAACGTTTCAAACGTGTGATTATTCTATTCAAGAATTAATTCCTTATTTTTCAGGAATTTTTAGGAAGACTTTTTCTTTACTTTCACAAAGAAACAAAACAATGGAAAATTCCCTTCTTCACTCTTCAAATATTCAGCACGAGATTTTTTATTCTTGATTTTTCTCAACTCACATTTTGTCCCTCAGAATATTTTGTTTTCTGTCAGTAAGATATATTTCTTCGAAACTTGGTCTTAAAGAATAATTCATTCCCCTCATTCCATGACTTTGCACTCATTTTTATGTTCGTCTGTGTTTTCTGCAATAACGTTCATAATTTGTAATTGGGGGTTTTGACTATTAATTCAAGGAGACCATCACCTGAATGGATTGAGAAAACATTGCTGAGATTGGAGGCTTGCGTGGATAGAACTTGGGAAGCATTGAATACTGGACATTGGAAAGATGTGGAAATGAGGCACAGATATTGCTACACAATTTGTAGCGTATTGAAGGTACCCAACCATTCAGAATAATTCTTTCCCTGCAATTCCTCAATCATTGAATACGAAACTTGAATGAAAAATATTAAAAACCGATTATTTCTCAAAATAAAAGATTACTCGCCTAATATTTTTCATTGAATTTTCGTATTCCATAATTTTATTCAATCAAGAATTCCCTGAAATAACACAAGTATCATTTTAAGATGTAAATTTATTTTCAGTGTATAGTTTTAGAAATGAGTTCCCAAGGTGTTGAAGACCACTATAAAACCGATATAACAACAAAAATGATTGAGCAAGTCGACAGGGGATTGCTGCTGGGTGCTCCACTCGACGACATCCCCCATTTGTTGACGAGAATCGCCTCTAGACTGAACGAAAAAATGTGCTGTAAGCATAATCACTTATTTATCGCCACGGATAGATTGAATTTTCTTTAATTATTTCTTTGTCCACCAGCTGTTGTAAGCAAAAACTCTGGTATTTTGCAATGTGACTCGACAAATGTTCCTAAGAATCTCTTGCGTGGATTGGAATGGGTTCAACGATATAAATCTCCATCGATGGAGACATTCTATCGTGATATTTTCGTGAAGAAAAGCCCTGCAGTATTAGAAGGTACCAGTTGAATAATTCATGGGAATGATGAATCATTTATATTTGCAGGATGTCTGGTAGAAGAAAAATTCCTAAGCAAGTCTTATCTACAACCATAAATTCACACATTGATAACTACCTCGTCTCGAACATTTTGCGCTGAACATAAAATAGCAAAACCTCACAAACAATCGACTAGAAAATTAAGAGGAAAGTTTATTGAATCTGGAGACGGCTATTCTAGGAATATTTCATCTAATAACAACATCTTTTCATCATAAATATGATCAATGAGTGAAGATAATTAATGTATTACTCCGGTTTGCTGACAAGGGGTTCCTATCTGTCTGAAGATTTAAAAAGTACCTGGAGATGAAAATTTCCCGTGCAAGAATAGATCTCGTATGGTTGTTCATCGCTTACTTATAGAATGTCAATTTCCAAGTGATAAGACCCATAACTATTATAATAATCAACTATAATAATCAACCATAATAATCAAATTAATTGAAGTTATTAATAAACTATTAGTAGTCTCCTGATTCTTGTTTAGAAATTTTGTATTTCCAAATTAGAGGAGGCTGGGGTAAAATGGACACTTGACTTTTTTATAAATGTTAATGACGGGTTGAAATGTTGCTGAAATTTAGTAATTTTTTTTTAATACCAGCAACAATTCTTTCCCTTTGTGATGAGCTTAAGCTGATGTCAATTAATAAATTTGTTTCTGAGTTATGAATAATGTTAAAAAAATCTAGTGTCCATTTTACCCTACCCTCCCCTATTTCTTGTTGGAAATTGTTTCTACCCCTCTGAGTAAGAAAAAGTCCAAATTTATCTATTTGTTCAATGAATTTCTCTTCTATTTTATCTGCACAGGATGTATAGACCACTGGAAAGCTTTAACTCTATGGAAAGACCCCAACTACCTCATAAAAATAGCTGGAACCCGTACAGTTCCCATAGAAATAGGTTCAAAATACACTGAAGAAGACTGGTGTCAACACCTCATTACCCTCTCAGACTTTATTAAATCACATGTTACAAAAAACAATGATAAAGTTGGATATCTCGCGCAACATCAGCTCTTCGAACAAGTAAGAGTCGCAATATCTATAACACTAAGATCCAACACAGCTGTGAGAACAACCTCATGTCGTTAAGATTCCAGAACTGAAAGAAGACTTTTCAATTCCCGACTACTGCAGCTTCTCTGATAATTCTGAAGACAGTCTGCCTGACACTAACGCCTGGTTCGGCCCCAAAGGAACAGTCTCACCTCTTCACTATGATCCAAAAAATAATCTCCTGTGTCAGGTGAGACAAATCAAATAATCAACTAATAACGAAATTTTGATTTTCCATCATTTCCAGGTTTTTGGTTGCAAACGAGTGATACTTTATCATCCAAATGATAGTAGAAATTTGTATCCATACGATACGAGGTTGTTATCCAACACAGCACAAGTGGATCCGATAAATCCTGATTATGTTAATTTCCCTGATTTTAAAAATGCTCAAGGAATAATGTGTTATCTTAACGAGGGAGAAATGCTATTCATTCCTCCAGGATGGTGGCATCACGTTGTGAGCCTGTCTCCATGCTTTTCTATTAGTTTCTGGTGGTAATTACCAATAAAAAAAATGTATGAAAGAAAATAATAATCTGTATTATTTAATAAACACATCTCTCAACGGTTCAATAGTTAAAAAAATAATTCTAACTCTTAACGTTGGTAAAATACTCGTTATCAGCTTGTACAAAAATAAAAAGAAGTGCTGCCGTTGGATGAAGGAAATACCAGATAAAGAAAAAATGAAATGATCGTTGTTGTACTTGATTACGGCAGTGGAGGGAACTCGTCGTCAATTGTCGAGTGGATCCTGCAGGTGGGGCACGATCGGCTCTGGTTGAACCAGGTGACCAGGCACTGCTTGTGGAATGTGTGTTGGCACTCTAGGGTGTACGTCGGTATCTTCAGCTCAGAGACTAGGGTCTCCCAGCAGATGACACATTCAGCCTCCGGGGACTCCTTGATCCAGGAGACGTTCTGAGGCTTGCTCCAGGGATTCTTCTTGGCAACAGTGTCTCGATGGAAGGACGAAACTGAAAGGGAAAATGTCAGGGGGTTGAGGATGACAAGTACGTGACGAGGTGAAATTGGAATTAGTGAATTAATCGTGCTCAAGGGCTTTGTACATGATTTAAAAATTTTAAGAAAATTAAAGAAACTCAAAAAACTTGAGGTGTTTCGTGTGTAGATCACCGGAGGGTGAAATGGATGGGGAGTCTTATTGTTCTCGAGTCCTGATTCAATCGCTGAGCACAAAATTTTCAAATATTCGGAGGGGGGGGGCGTTTGTACTTCCGCGACTGTACACATCCACAGCTGTCCACAGATTTGTGAAAAATGTGAGAGAACAACTGTACACAACAAGATCTGAAGAAAATGTGCAAGAATTCTCAATGATGCAGCGTACTTAGAAATTTCCCCCATAAATTTTCCAATTTTTTTCATTACTTTGACCTCTCAACCGAAACACCTTAAGAAACTTGAAAGAAACTTTAAAAAATGTTCATTTTGCCCCTAAATACGATAGCTAATTCCCCAACTCACCAGAAGACGTCGAGGAGTTAGGATCACTCCCCGTTCTCCCCGCCTGCGTGGTCAAGTAGACCCCCTGATTCTTCACATTAGCAGGCTTGTTGCTGGAGAGATAAGGAATCAGCTGGAGCTTCTGCCTCGAATTGAGGATCTTATCAGCCTCCGCGATGATCTGAACGAGAGGAAGTCCAGTCAGAGAGTCATTATGATTCTTCCTCACAATTTTAATGCTCCATATGAGATCGAATTCGAGCACTCCAGGATGCTTATTACGAAGGATGTGCAGCAGCTTGTCCATGCTCTGTATCTTCTGTTTCTTGACTTCACCGAACCCATGCACTGGCCTCTCGTTGTTCCTCTCAGGCTCTTGAACACTCGGTGGACGAGAAGGAGGTGCTGATTGCTCTGACATTTTCTCCTTCACCAGACCCTGATGAACTGCTGATGAACTGCTGTCTGATGAAGCTGTCTTTGCAGAGGCTTTAACTGCCTGCTGGGCAGTCACATCAAGTGCTGTCAACAGTTTCTTCGCTGGGGGAGTTGCTGGCACATTCTGGGGAACCTTCATGGCTTGAGGAATAGGTGAAGATGGATGAATCTGCAGGTTCTGTGCAGAAACCACCTCAGCAGGTCTCGGCATTTTGTTCACTGCATAAGATGACGAAGCAGCTAGAGCCACAAGCGATGCAAAATTGGCTGCCAGAGTTGCAGGCTTCACTGTTGTAGCAGGAAGAGCTTTAGCCGCTTCAACTGGAGTCGTTGGAGCTGCATTAACCGTCAAAGGTGGAGATGATGAAGAGGTAGAGGCAAGAGCTGGCATCATCGACGAGCCAGGAACAGGGGGTTTGGCATCACTAGCTTCAATTGGCTGCACAGACTGAGCAAGAACACTCATGATTACAGATGGATCCTGTAGTGTTTGTGCAGAAGTTTGCACATGAGCTTGAACAGGAGCTTTTAGAATGACTTGAGCAGGTTTGACTTTCGTTGGAGGAACCGTTGGCACTGGCGGTGGAACCTGAATGTAATTCTTGACACGTACATTGGTATTGTCCGATGCAACTGCTGGAGAAGCGTGCACCTGAGAACTAACAATATCTTGTGAATTCTTGTCCACCTGGGGTTCATTTGGCTGTCCCTCCACGGCAGCAACTGGCCCTTGTCCAGGATCTACTGCATCTCTCGAACTGCTCGACACCTCTGACCTGCTGCTCTCTCCACTTCTCTTTTCAGAATGCTCCTCACTGGACTCTGACTCAGAGCTCTCTCTTCTGACCTCAGCTTTCTTCTTCTTATCATCAGAGGTTTGTACTGGTGGTGTCGCAGATGGGGGATTTGTCGTGACATCAGTAATGGTGATAGGAGACCCCAGATAAGGTGAATACTCTCTTTGGAATCCTGCTCTCACATAGGGAGGTCTCGAGTACCCAGACGATTGAAACGATCCCGATGGCATCATGGGGTTGTTCAAGGGGTGATAGGGACTGCATGGAAGCGAAGGTGGTGGAGCGTAACGGGGCTGTTGTTGATACCACAGAGGGATTATTGGGGGAACCTGATTAACCCCAGGTGGAACAATAGCTCGACGATAACTTACCATTGGCTGCTGGAAGTGATTTTTCAACATGTTGACAGCTATTTCCATTAAATCTTGAATATTCCTCTGAGGAAGGGGCGGGGAGTTGAGGGTATTCATGTGGGTCCTGAAGGCCTGCTCCCTCTCCTCACTCGGATTGTTCGATTTCATCAGCTTTGTCAGCTTTCTGTGCTCACTCTCGAGGTCTGCTCGCATCCTCTCGAGCTTCTCCAGGGGATCTGCCCACTCTGTCCAATCAACATTCAAGTAATTCTTCGTAATCTGATGCACGAGATTCTGGAGTTTAGCTACAACAGCGTATTGACTCTGGGTTATGTCAATCTTGCAAGTGATCAAGTTGACGTTGTAATTGAACTCATAATCCAGAATTTTCATCGACATCTTTCGCTTCATCTCTGTGGACTTGTCCTGCTCGGATTTCAGCTCGTTTCGACTGCTCTGAAGATCAGTTTCAGTGGTTTTCAACTGGTCTTCAGTCTCCTTGAGTCTCGTTTTCACCGTCTCTAGCTCGTCTTTATTCTTCTGGAGCTTGTCTGAGACTGTCTGTAATTTGCCTTGAGCCTCCTGGAGTTCGTCCTGAGTCTTCTGGAGTTTTTCTTGAGTCTTCAGGTGTTCGTCTTCACTCATTTTCAGCCTCTCTCCACTTCTTCGAAGCTCTTCTCGGTAGCTTTCTAGCTCTTCCTCCAGGGTTTTGATCGCAGCTTCCTGGTCATACAGTTTCTCGCATCTGCAATACTCGTGCTTCTTGCAGTCCCAGGGGAGGTCGTCTTGATCGTCCAGCGTCCCCTCTGACTCAGTCTCGATGACGCAACGTTCAGAAATTTCCTTTGGCTTCTCCGATGGCTTCCTGTTATTGCTTTGCTGATTTTTCTTGTTCTTATTTTTCTTCTTCTGAGTCGTAATCACTTGTTTCTTTCCTTGCTTAATCTCATGTTTCTTCTTCTTTCTTTGTTTAACCTCATGTGGTTTTGGAGGTGGTGGCATTTGTTCCCTCGCTGCCTGTTCAACCTTGCATGAGGGCTGTTCAATCACCTCCTCCTTATCAGATTCTTCCATCCGTTCAATCCCTTCAATCTCGTCCCCATTATTCTCTTCAACTCTCCCACCATCTGCCCCCTCATCCTCACCCTTCTCTTTCACCGCAGTCTCTTTCATCTCCTCCTCGACAAACTTCTTTTCCAACTTCTTCTTGACATCGCCAGCAACGTCCTCCTCTACCTCCTGTACTTTCATCTTCTTCACAGGCGTCTGGAAGCTCGCATTCGTATCACTCGAGTCCTCCGACTCAACAGTAGTGCTGTAAGCATCCCCATCCGACTCCTCCTCCACATCATCCAGAAAATCCTCAGCGGTCAGCAAGAATGGATCACTCTCAGCTGGATCAGCCTCAGCCTTCTCACCCTCCACCTTCGCACTAGCAGTGGCAGCTCGATCACGAGGTTCAGATTTCACCTCGACCTCCGTCTTCTTCCTCCTCTTCAGATGCCCACTACTAAAGTCAAACGTCTTCTTCTCCATCATCTCCATCACCCTGAGCTCTGCCTCCTCCTCCGCGAGTGCATAAGCCCCCGGCAGCAATGCTGGTATACAAATGTAGTTCCCAATAGCCACAAACTTGAGGGATTGAAGCAAAAACTTTCTCACATCAATGATCCCATCGAAATCCTTGAGAATAGGCTCGAAATCACTGCTCTCAGTCAAACTATTCCACTCCCTCATCAAGTCATCATTCTTAATGGGCCCCCTATTCTCAATATACGATAAAAAATAAGAGAACAAAAAGGATTTAATGAAAATCTTGCTTTCACCGTCCTCTGAGAAATCAGGCTCGTAACTTGTGTCAATGGTACTCCTCATGTGTTCGTTACCATAGTACGCCTTGTTGGGCCTCCAATCGTTATCTGGATCTATATTGAAATTCAACTCCCTGAGGGATATCATTTGCATGACTTTCGAGGTGAATAGATCGCATGTCGTTGTCTCCAGAGACTCGACGACTTCCTCCACTCCCTGAACAACACCGCACACGTTTAAGGCGTCCTCGCTGGTGTGGGGATGCTCAGTCGTCTCGCTGATCTTGTCGACGGGCAGAATGTGCTTGACTCGGGGAACTTTGGATGTTATTCTGCTCAACTGCTTCTGTTTGCGAGTAGCTCCCTTCGATATTGAAGTTGTCTGCTGAGCATGCCACTGTGATTTGTCCGCCGAGGGCTCGATGTCCTTCACACTGCCATCCTCTTTGTGAATTGTTATCTTTTTTATGAGACTTGGCTCCTCCTCGGTACCGCAGTTGGGGGTGAAGCACTCCCAGTTGAGGAGGACCTCTTTGTCTGAGATCTTTGCAATCGACGATGACTCGTCCTTCTTGACCTTCCAGCAGGCGCAGTGGAAGTGAATTTCGCAGGGATTTGTTGTATTGCTGCAGGTGACTGTGACCATTCCGTTGTACGCTGGGGATTTGACGAAGATGTCTCTGCCGCAGATGTGGTTTTGAGAGGTCAATCTGCAGATTGTCATGAAGCATCTGGCGTCTGGTGGGTGCCAGCCAGAGCACTGCTCCTTGAGGCTTGTCAGCTGTTTTGTTAGCTCGTCCATTGTACTCTCGGGGATGAGGGTCTCCGATTCTGGGAGGTAGCACACGGGAAAGTCCGAGGAGTTGGCGACTGACAGGCCTTTTGTGGCCATGCGCTCCGCCTCGTCGAAGCAGAAGACTTTGGTGTAGAATTGGGTGAGCCCCAGGTAGATCATGGGGTAGGTGCCACCGAATGAGACCTCTAGGTCTGTCAGGATCGATCGGGCCTTGTTCAGTTCTAGAAATTGATTAGACTGCAGGAGGCACTTACAGACGAGGTACTGGACGATTATGTCCAGGCGCGAGTGCTCGTTGTTGTTCAGGGGGAGTTTACGTTTCGAGGTGACGTAGGCTTCGTATCGAATTACCGCGGCGTTGTAGAGACCGTTTGTAAAGTCCTCGGTGGCACGGGCGAGGTGCCTCTTCTCCTCGGGGGTCAGGGATTTTGAGAGGAGTGACGCCGCGTTCATTCCGTCGAGACATTTCATTATGTTGGCGTTTAGGGCATGCATCGCCGAGGTGTCGAATTCTACTTTCTCGGTCGTCTGGAATTCGAAGAAAATTATTCTTGAATTCTTTTGCGGAGGCACAGCGGGGGATTTGGAGAGTTTCGAGTTGAGTTATAACGTAAGTTGGAGTTTTATTTTAATATTTATATTGTTATTTATGTAAGTTTTGTAGGGAAGAGTGGGGCAAAATCATTTTTATCTTCAACTGAACGGAAATTTGAGTCGTTATTGAATAGCTCGGAGTGAGAGGAAAATAGCCAAAGTTTTTAGGAAGTGGAGTGAGATGTAGAAAAAAACGTAAAAACGTGAATGTGGAAATCTCGATTTCATTAATAACTTGATTGATTTTTTGTTATATCTTTATTTTGTTAGATTTGTTATAATATTTCAGAGTCTGGGGGAGTGGCAAACTTTTGAAGAGGAGATTTTTGTAGGGTGAAATGAGATTTACAAAAACATCTCGATAAAAATTCATCTTCGAGTGCAAGCCATTTACCAAGAACTGACTCGTGAATGGAATTTATTCTTTTTTTTCTTCAACAGAACTGAAATCTGAGTCATCAGAGAATATCTCGAGGTATATGCGGGAGTGGCGAACTTTTTGTGAAGAGTTTTTTTCTGGAGTAGAATGAGCTACAAGAAACCTCACGGATTGCCATTCGAACTGGATTTAGATGCGACCAAATTGTTAATTTATTTTTCCAGTTATGTTGAAGGTTTAAGAGAATTTGATCTTCTTATTCATTCTAAAAATGCGAGTTTCGATAATAATTTGGATATTAATAATTTTCGAGTATTTTTATTCTTGAAATAAAATGAAACATCTCAATGAAAATTAAAAGAAAGTGGAGCGTAGGTTTCGAGATATTCGAGCTAATCTGCAGGTGGAATTCAGTCATTTTTACCGACATACAGTATGAGTTTTTCATAAATATTTCCCCATCCGAAGCAGACAGAGAAATCATGATAGAGAAAAGGGAAGTATAAAATGCATTTCCTTGAATCATTAATATCTCTTATCAAAATATTCCAATTTTTTTTGGCTTGTTGTGCCGGCGAGACTGCTACTGATCCGTCGATTCGATTCAACTGTGTTGTTATGTTCTTGAGACTCATTAGGAATGTTCTCATTATTTTATGGTGACAACCTACCAGAGATGTCGAGAGTCTGAGAAAGCTTGAATTACAAGCGGAACGTCGCGATTCGACAATGAATTAGTACGGCTTACTGATTTTTCCAATTATCCCATAATCCACATCCTGAGTTAATTCCAATTAGAATGAATCAGGTTTGACTTTAGAGCTTCAAAAAATACTTCTGAAACGACTAAGATATTGTTGAATTTTTCTCAAGTGATCTGGAGTTATTGACGATCAGAAATTTTATTTCGCCCTCTTTTCTGCTCAATCCAAAAACCTAGGGGAGAGTGGGGTAAAATGGACACTTCACTTGAAATATTCATAATGTATATACCCCCCTGTGTATTACATATATGTATTACACCCACCCCCCTCTCCCCACGTATGAAAAAATTAGAAAACCTAATAGAAAAATTCTATAGGAATTCTATGGGATTTCTATTTGTTTTTTGCGCTGATTTTATTAGATATTCGCTAAAAAAATTCAATAGATTTCGAATTTCAGTTCGAATTTTTCTCTTGAGATTTTCTCTATTAAAAATTATTGGGCACAACAGAAAATTTCAAACAGAAATTCAAAATCTATTGACTTTTTCTTGTCGAATATCCAATAGAATTACCGCAAAAAACAAATAGTATTTTCCAATAGAATTCCAGTAGAAATCCTATAGAAATCCCATATAATTCCTAGAGAATTCCAATAGAATTTTCTAGCGAATTCGCTAGGTTTTCCATTGAATCTTTTCGTGCGTGCCCTATATCCTCCCAAACATGCCTTCAATTATCTCTCCTAGAATCCGAAATATTTCCCAAAAACTTATCTTAAACTAAAATCCAGTTGTATCTACTCCTGGATTAATATCTCTCCTCACTCTCCGATATTGAACATTGCGTTATGAACTAAAAATTGTGTATCTGTGGGTGAGGACACACGCAATCAACTGCGTCGATTACTTAACAAATTACGTTACCATATTCGCTGATATCCACTTCCCCTCGCTATTGTCTGAACAGATAGTCGTGTTTATCTCGTATGAATCACCTTGTCGGCACGATCAAGTGCATACCAAAACAGACAAAAAGTCTCGGAATCGAGAGAAACATTCACTATGAAATAATTTAGTGAGGACTACAGGGAGTCGAGTCAGAGTCGCGCGTCACGTGTCCCGAAAATCATGAACGAGTCCTTTGTTTTGCGAGGAGAGGGCTTACCGGTAACTACGCGTCACGTTTACAAGCGCCTTCACCGAAACAACTCTCATTCCCTCACATTTTCATCACTTTACGGTTAGAATTCGTTGATGCGTGCATTTCGGCAGGTTTTTCAATGGATAACAAGTGTGAACGTGATAAATTCACAAATTTACGGCGGAAATCGACGGAGGTAGACGCGATGTCTTGAACTACTCGACGCAACGGAACTCCGCGGCCTTGCACTTCACGAGTTTTGGGAGGTTCTGAAGAAGACCGAGGACAGTGCTGCCGTCGCGGCAGTTGCCGGGGAGGCTTGAGAGCAATAATTGAAAACACTGGAATAGAAGTGGATGAAACGGTTGGGATGATGGGATAATTAAGGGGTAACAGAATGCCCTTAATCTCCCATTAATCTCCAGAAGGTGATGATGAAGATCAATGTACTTTGGGTTGAAAAAATAATAATTTTGAGCAGGAAATTTATTTAATAATTTTGAGAAAACGATGGCCTTCTGTTACCTCTTAAGGTGTTTCGGTTAAAAAGTCAAAATAATGAAAAAAAATGGAAAATTCATGGGAGAATATTGGATTATGGGGTTTAAAAATAAGAAACAGTTTTTATCTATGTGAACACTTTAATTGAAAAATCTCTAAGACTCTACACAGTCAGGAGTCCAGTGGGGCCCAGGGTTAATATAGACCCAGGAGGGCAATATAATTTCCACCCCCTGAAGCAAACGCTCGGTCTTTCCCTCTTGACCCCGCCTGGTCGCCAGCTGTACTTCTGGGAAAAACCTACATTTGGGAAAAAACACATCAGTAAAAGTCCCGAGAGGACTTTTCCCCATTTTACACTCTCAGGGAAGACCCCATCGCAATATAAAGCAATAAACCTTTCCTTCNACTGCGTCGATTACTTAACAAATTACGTTACCATATTCGCTGATATCCACTTCCCCTCGCTATTGTCTGAACAGATAGTCGTGTTTATCTCGTATGAATCACCTTGTCGGCACGATCAAGTGCATACCAAAACAGACAAAAAGTCTCGGAATCGAGAGAAACATTCACTATGAAATAATTTAGTGAGGACTACAGGGAGTCGAGTCAGAGTCGCGCGTCACGTGTCCCGAAAATCATGAACGAGTCCTTTGTTTTGCGAGGAGAGGGCTTACCGGTAACTACGCGTCACGTTTACAAGCGCCTTCACCGAAACAACTCTCATTCCCTCACATTTTCATCACTTTACGGTTAGAATTCGTTGATGCGTGCATTTCGGCAGGTTTTTCAATGGATAACAAGTGTGAACGTGATAAATTCACAAATTTACGGCGGAAATCGACGGAGGTAGACGCGATGTCTTGAACTACTCGACGCAACGGAACTCCGCGGCCTTGCACTTCACGAGTTTTGGGAGGTTCTGAAGAAGACCGAGGACAGTGCTGCCGTCGCGGCAGTTGCCGGGGAGGCTTGAGAGCAATAATTGAAAACACTGGAATAGAAGTGGATGAAACGGTTGGGATGATGGGATAATTAAGGGGTAACAGAATGCCCTTAATCTCCCATTAATCTCCAGAAGGTGATGATGAAGATCAATGTACTTTGGGTTGAAAAAATAATAATTTTGAGCAGGAAATTTATTTAATAATTTTGAGAAAACGATGGCCTTCTGTTACCTCTTAAGGTGTTTCGGTTAAAAAGTCAAAATAATGAAAAAAAATGGAAAATTCATGGGAGAATATTGGATTATGGGGTTTAAAAATAAGAAACAGTTTTTATCTATGTGAACACTTTAATTGAAAAATCTCTAAGACTCTACACAGTCAGGAGTCCAGTGGGGCCCAGGGTTAATATAGACCCAGGAGGGCAATATAATTTCCACCCCCTGAAGCAAACGCTCGGTCTTTCCCTCTTGACCCCGCCTGGTCGCCAGCTGTACTTCTGGGAAAAACCTACATTTGGGAAAAAACACATCAGTAAAAGTCCCGAGAGGACTTTTCCCCATTTTACACTCTCAGGGAAGACCCCATCGCAATATAAAGCAATAAACCTTTCCTTCACATAAAAGAACTTGGGAGAGTGAATTTTGATCTCGGGGAAAACCCCGAAATCCAACAGAGAAATTTCTAAGTATGCTGCATCATTGAAAATTCTTGCACATTTTCTTCATATTTCAGTTTCAAAAAAAAAAATAAGGAAATTTGGATATTTTTGTAAGCCCTCCGGCTGTAACCTCCGAGGTTACCCCACTCTCAATTAGGTAAATTTCCATGGCACCCATCAAAATATTGAACTATTGAGGAAAAACTAGTGCGTGATAAATCGAATCTTTCTTGAGAACACGTATAAGTTTCTGATTTTTTTTAGATTTCATAAGAAAGTTATTTGAACAAATGTTTCGGAAAATTATGAGTTTCGGGGCAATTACGCACTCACGCGCAGGCGCGTGATTCGAATGTCAGTGAGAAAACACTCGACAGGTTTACCAACTCGAGAAGCATTTGAATATTATTTCAATAATTAGAATAACATCCAATAAAAATTATTTGACAATCGTGTTGCAGCGTATTGCGGAGATCTAATCTTATCACTCCGAAGATATTACCCAAGCGTTTATTAAGATAATCATAGAGAGAGAACCGATAATAATCATCATTATCGCTACATCATTCTGCATTTACCTAATTAAATTATTCCGCTAGTAAAATAAGTCCCTCAAGAGTTCCCGATTTTTTTATTATTCCCCCAATGAAACATCAATCTTATTATTCTCCGAGCGCAAAAGAGAATATTTCGCATTTTATATCGTCCCTTTGGCTGCTAGGAATGCAGTAAAATTTTATGAACCGTTTACAGTTCTTGGAAATTGGGAAATCCCTGAAGAGTTAAGATAATCATATAGTGAAAACCGATAACAATCATTATTATCATTGCATAATTAGGGGAGGCTGGGATAAAACGGACACTTTTGACTTTTTTAAAAATGTTAATGAGGGGTTGAAATGTTGATAAAATTGAATAATTTTATTTTCAATACAAAGAACAACTTTTTCCCTTTGTGACGAGCCTAAACTGAGCTCAATTGATACATTTGTTTCTGAGTTATAAATAATTTTTAAAAAGTCTAGAGTGTCCATTTTACCCCACCCTCCCCTATGCATTTTCCTAATTCAATTATTCCACTAGAAAAATTAGTGACTCAAGAGCCCCAAATTTCCTCATTATTCCCTCAATAATAACATCAATGTTATTATTATCCAAGCGCAAACGAGAATATTTCACATTTTATATCGTCCCTTTGGCTGCTAGGAATGCAATAAAATTTTATGATCCGTTTACAGTTGGAAATTGGGGAAATCCCTCGATGCATCGGTACCCCAAAGGGTAAAGAAATCAGGAAAACGAATTCTTCATGATCAGGTTCCCCCCTTCCCCAATAGATAGCAGCAAGTGAGGATTTCCCTCTCTTACGCGTTCAATGATCTTGATAATCAAGTGTTCTGTGATTATTGACATGAGTCATGTTGGTCCTAGCAAAACCATGAGAATAGTCTGGAAGGAAAGTGGCGGGATCTCGGAACTCTCGGACCAATTAGCCATTTTGTGATTAGAAGTAGTGATAGTCAGTGGTAGATGAATGCTCAGAAATTTGTGTGTCGTGATTAATTAATGAGAATTAGGGAAAATCGAGGGGTTGCAGCTAGCAACAAGTATTTTTGTGGTTCGAATTGGTGCAATATTCTGTTGTCATGAACACGTATGACAGCTCTGGCTATTGGTCCTTTGTTTAGTTGCTCAAGTGACGTCTCACGTATTCTTTGCATTTATTTACTGTATTTATTTAGTTGGAGTACTTAACAATGCTCCAACAACATCGTGCTAGCATTGATCTCTGTTGTAATACGCTCGCTAAAAAAGTTAATATGGTTAGGCTCTGGCCCAAGTTGTTGAAGTATAGAATTTTTAATCCTGATGATGTTAACATACCGAGGTGGCAGGTGAGTATGTTCATTTTATATTGTGAATTCAGCGAGGAGGTAAAACGGTTCAATTAGATTTTGACTATTGACCAGTTTTTGATAAATATCTCGGAATCTAAGGCGAATAACAAAATCATTATTGGAACTTTTTTTTAGAGCGAATTAACAGCTACAAAAAAGGTTATTATGAAAATTTCGCTATTCCCTTTTGATTCGGAGATATTCGTCGAAAAGGCTGTTGAGAGCTTTACAGTTTTTCAATCATCAAATTTGTCAATTAAATTGCGTGAGAAAAATTTGAGAAAAATCATGAATGCATGAAGCGTCATTTAAATTACATTTTGCACAGAATTATTAATTTTTTAAACATTAGTTGTTTGTAAATAAATCATTGAAATTGTTTAAACTTTTGGAAACCCCAATCGATTTCTGGTAAAATTCGGAATGTGAATAAATTTGTCACGATTCCGAACAACTTATTTTTATGGAGGAAAATTGATTGTTTATAAATTATTTATAGAAAATGCTCATAATTTTCAAAAATTGCAATTTTTTAATTATTTGATCAATCTTGCTACAAAACTAAACTTTTCAAATTTTTTAAAGAATTTTCTGCAAAGTTTAAATAATAAAATCATTGTCAAGTGATTATTTGTAAAGTAATAGGAGAGAGTGGGGCAAAGTAAAACAGCCGAAGGACGACCATTTGACGTAATTCAAGCAAAATAAATTGTTTTTTATCCATTTTTGTTTATCTACTTTTTTTATTATTGGGAGTACTGATGAGAATAATAATTTTCTATTCGTCTTATAATTCAATTGATTAGATTAGGCTGATTACACTTTTAATTTTTCATTCCATTAAAATTCAGCATCACATTTTCCTTTTCCTCCCCCTGGGCCTTGCTCTGGACTTTAGATTGTCCTGTTTCATGTTCTTTTCAATTGATCCATTGACAAAATCTTCTCCCATCAAAACTTCTCAATAATTTTCCATTCTACTGAATCAAAAATTATTATTCTCATCCGTACTCCCAAGAATAAAAAAAGTTAATAAACAAAAGTTAATAAAACAAAAATTTGATTTAAAAAATTTGTTTGCTTGAATTGTGTCAAACAGTCGTTTTTCGACTGTTTCATTTCGCCCGTCTCCCCTACAAAAGTAGAAAAGGACTTGACTAGAGAATAAATAACTAAAGTACTTAGATATTCTTTAACCGTTTTACCGCTTCGCAACTGAATTCTTGTGGCAGATGATAGGACTTGACATAAATAATAGAAACCATACGACGCATTGTCAATGGAATTACTGAATTTAGAGGAAATTTATCGCATTTTAACGATTTATTATGGAATTTAATTGTGTCGTTTCTTATCGTATGGAGGAAATGCCTGTTTGCCAATCAATAATAAACTACTTAAATTTCATTTAACGAATTCGCTTATTCATTAGGATACATAATATTAATTTCCAGGAAAGCCTCAGTGATGTGAACACTATAAAGGAGATAGTAACGACCATAAAGACCCGTGGACCATTGGCATTTGACTATTTGCTCAGGAGCCTGACGGAAATTAATCAAGCCAATCTAGCAGAAATTCTATCAGCCTCAATCGTCGACACTGCCTCAAATAACAACACCAATAATGTTCATAAAATATCCCAGAATCTTCCACAGAATGTGACCACCCAATGTGCTCCATCGGATAAGGCGCCCAGTAATGGAAGACAAGATTTGAATTATGAGGATAACCTGTTTGACGATTTGTAAGAATCATATTCATTTTAAGGGGAAAGGGAACCCCTGTATCTATATGAACTTTTAGAATTCTGTTTTCACCTACAATTGTTAATTTTTATCTATGATGAAACTACTTTAGAGATTCGATCATTGCATTATTGAGTCAATGGAGTAGTTTCATAAATAAAAAATAATAATTGCAGGAGAAAACACAATTCTAAAAGTTGGTATAGACACAGGGGTTTCGTTTTCCCTTAAGAGGAGACTACACTGAAAGAAAAATGACAATGTTCTCAAACAAGTCTTACTTGTGTCAAGAAAATAGTTTTTTGAAAATTATCACAAAAGGATTTTTTTGTGCCAAACATGCAGAGAGTGCGCCGGAATGAAAATTTTTAGGGGTTTTGGCTGCATTCAACTATTTCTCAATTTAATTATCCTTTGTTTTGTTATTTTTGCTTCAAATAATTTTTTTCAATAACTGGGAAGTCTACTTTTTAGGGAAGATTCATAGAAAAATGGGACATTGCGATTTTTAATGACAATTGCCTACTTCATGGATAATTTCTGAGCAATTAATTTTCGATCCTAAAAATAATTTCGTCGATATTGTAACAAATTCATCATTGAACAACTTCAATCATTTTTTCATAACAAGAAAATATGAAAACCACTTTTTTGAAAAATTACATCAGGATGATGCTGATTACTTAAAAATTGCTTTCAATTTTTTCTCATACAATTAACAAATTTGAAGATTAAAGTCATAAAATCTTCTGTCTGAACATACAAAACAAAGACAACTGATTCTAGTTATTTTCGCAACCAATTATTCCAAGTATTTTCTCCCGAATAGAAGAAAGTATTGGATTTTCAGTTATAATTTTCATAAGCAAAATAATAAGTTCTGAAAATGATTGGAAACCCCAATTCAAATAATTTTCCAATTCTTGATCTTCCAATTCAGAAGGGTTCTGGGCGAGGCGCCTGTAGTAGTAAAAGTGAAAAAATCTACAGAATTTCTGGATGAAATCGATAATCATATACTCGGGAGATATCCAATGCGAAGTAACCCACGTGGATTAGTTCTACTGATAACGTTGATGGATTACCAGAAAAATAAGAAAGTGAGACACGCAGCTGAACATGATCACCACAATTTAACGCAATTATTCGAACAAATGGGTTTCGAAGTCATAGCGAAGACGAATCTATCTGCTAGTGTAAGTACTATCAATCGAAAATAATTCAGTGAATTTCAGTAGTGAAGTTGTGAAACGATTCAAGTTGAGTCAACTCTTGGTTGAATTTTCGACGAATATCTCCGAATCTAAGGGAGAAATCGAAATTTTTGTTATGAACTTTTTTGTAACTCTCAATTCGCTCTACGAAAAGCGTTATAACAAAAATTTTACTATCTGCCTCAGATTCCGAGATATTCATTGAAAACTGATCAATATTCAAAATCGACTTGAATCGTTTGACTGCTTCGCTAATGATTTTAGTCGAATCGCCAGATGCAGTGATGAAATTATCCAATTAATTAACTAGGAGATCACGAGAGAAGTCTTTGAATTCTCCCAGAAACCTGAACATCGCAAAATGGATTCTTGTTTCGTTATTATATCGGGTCATGGCAACAGATCACCGACTGGCCAAACTGTTATCCTTGGAATTGACGATACTGGCCATGAACATCCTGATCACCAAATCGCGAGTTTTGATATCATCAATTATTTTTCAGCTGAAAATTGTCCAGCACTCAGTCGTAAACCCAAGATATTTATTTTCCAAATTTGCAGGTGATTATTTATTAGTCCTTACTGATCATACACAGAGAAAAAAAGTTTCTGGTTTTCAGTAAAATTTAAATCTCTGAGACATCAGATAGATGTACGCGTGTCCAAACGGCACCTTCCCTCTACAGATATGGTAATTAAGAAAAATTAAATCATTAAGATATTGAAAATTGAATGCAAAAGCGAATGGTCAGCCATAAAAATTTATGATTATTTTCTGGCGTGATTGCTTGATCTTAGCATTACGATTTCAGGTACTTAATTTTAGGAATTTTTCTTCCACAATTGAGTAAATGCTCTCTTGTTCTCAGTGCTATACCTTTTAGAACTATGATTTTCTTAAAATCAGCACATTGGTGCCGATAACAAGAAACTTTTTTTCCGTATAATTCCTCCTGTTAAATTAAGGAACATTTGCCAGTGTTGCCACACTTTATTGAATCTCGTCATTGTCCATTTTCCAGAGGTGATTCTACCCAATTTGCTGTGATGGATCGCGGTGTTCATTCCGTTCGCTACAACCAGAATCTCGATCTCAGCAATCAGGATGCCCCACGTGATGGGACAAGCAGAAATTTCGAGCACATTCTCATTGTTAATTCTACACTGCCAGGATATGTATCATTTCGTGACGAATCTTGCGGATCTTGGTTCATTCAAATACTCTGTCAAGTATTTATGAACATGGCATGCTCACTCCACATTCGTGACTTATTCGATAAAGTGAGCACTGGTTTTTATCAATTAAATAGTCATGTGATGCTTCACATTTCATACTTTACATTTAATAAATATCCAATTATCTCTGTAATGAGTCATTCTGTCTACGTATGATCACTGAAAAAATAGAAATTTTTAAGTTGAGTGGGTTTTAGTACGTTTTGGGTTTGGGCTTTTTTTCCTAAACTAGAATAAGTGCTTTTTTTTAAATCCTTTCTTTGGTTAAATTGCTTTCCAACAATTTGTGGAAGCGATTTGGCAAACATTTATCCTAGTTTATCAATTCACGACAGAATTGGTTTATAAAATTCTAAAGAATCCATTAGAGAAATACGCATTCGATTATCAACTACTAAAAGATGTTTTTTTTATTTGACTAATTTTGTCGCTCATTAATTGTTTAATTATGTTGATAATGATCAGTGATTGTGGAGGAGAGTATATAAATATATTTTCTGAGGGAAATTTTGTCAAAAAATTCTTTGATAACTTAATTCGATATTCAATGAGGTGTGCAAAATTCTCTTGCTGCATTTTATGACTTCACTTCAGAATCAAGCATTGAGTGTCTAGATATGTTTATTTGACTGTTCTTTAATGCCGTTACAGATAGATGAATTGATATCAACTAAGAGGGCTGGGTACTACAAGTGTCAAACAACAACAGTGAAGGGCATTGGATTCAACAAGCATCTGTACATAAATCCTGGACTCTTTCCAGAGGATTCCTAATCTCCTCCCTAGGATAATTACCATTACTCATTATTTATTCACACAATGATTTCATATCTAGTTACTTTAGGTGCAATTAAAACAGATATTTTCTGTTTATCCATTTATCGTTCATTGATATTGTATTATTTTAATGTGAATGTGGCTCCAACATTCCCGCAATTTTTTTCATAATCATGCTCGTGAGAGTCAACAATTCTTCCTGGAGAGGCTTTTTTACTTCGATTCTGGGTGCATCGAAAATATTGACTATTGTCATTCGCATTCTGGACTCGAGTATTTTTAATTAATGACACATTTACTCAGGTTTAATGTATGCTATTGTATTACATGAAAATTTTTATATATTTATACGTTGATGAAAAAATAATAAACGCATGGCATGTTTGTCAGTTTTTTTCTCATCCAAATATGAGGTGCCCTAGCATGTAAAATTCTTCCATATGGTTGACTCCATCGTTTTAAGGAAAATTATATTACCTGATATCACTAATTATGAAGCATTTAGACGATATTCACGACCAAAGGAGTGAAAATGAAAGTGCTCTACGGCGAATTCCTAAAATTGTCCAACTATGGAATAAATTCACGTAAAAATAATAAGCATAAATTTATTCTGGCGATTTATTTGGCTATTCGATACTCGAATGCAAGGAATTGAATACAATAACAATCTGAGGAAAACCCTGTGCCCTAAAAATAAAATAATTATTACTAAAATAAATAAATATTCTGTTGTTAAAAGCCGAGGAAATTCAGGAAATTAAGGAAATAAACCCCTTGGGTGAAACTTATCCTCAGGATAAATTATATCCTAATGGCTATAATTTTTGAATATTCAACCTGAATAATAATTTTCCATTTATCCTGTAGCCTCATTTGAATGACTACTGATTCAATCCTGGGATTATTTTTTTCTTTCTCCTCGGGATAAATTGTAGAACTCCCCCTGGTAAAACAATCCATCGAACTTCCAAACTTATATTTGTTCTTAACTGACGATTGAGTCAACTGAAACTGGGGCAATCGGGTATAAATTACCTTTATTATTCATGTATGGAAATTTTTTATGTTCGAGTAGAACAATTCATACAATTTTCACTTGTTGATTTTGACTCCTCTCAGGGTATGATGAAAATAAATATATAAGCAGGAGTTTTACAGTACAGAAAACCTTAAACCAATGATTTATTCAAAATTCGATGGAACTACAACTGATATTAAATTTCAATGCATTGATTTTAGTATTTGGATGCCTATACAGTAGTCTGGAGGGCTGACAATTGAACCGGTGATGTATATTTTGATAAGAGATGCTGAATACGTTCCTAGGTAAAGTGAAGAAGAATTGAATCTTAACGAAGCAGTTGTAGCATAACGTAATAAATAAAATGGTTTGAATGGATGAAAAGAGAAGTTCGAATAAGAATGAAGATTATTCAAAGACGTTTTTACAAGATTGGAACGTATGAGTTTGTCAACAGCATTCAGCGTCACATGAAGGTCTGGATGATGGCTCTGGACTTCGACGAGTCGCCTCCACTGTCACCACAGTAGTTAAGCAAACAATTGGGGGAGATTGTTAGTACAAAGATTCGGCGTTGGACGACCGGGGTCGTTTGATCTTCTCGAGGTTTTTGATGACCAAGTCGTGAAGGGAGCAGTAACGGTTGCGTACTTCACTCATCACCAGCCAGAGACTGGTGTATTCCTTCTCATCCATCTCTTGGACTGCTCGTCTGTAGTCCAGGATGTGTGGGTATTTAGCGACTTTACTGAGGATTTTCCCTCTCGACACGAAGTACCTAGGAAATTTAATTTTTTTAGATGCATTTAACTAATTCAGTAGCGAAGTGGTAAAACGGTTGAAGTCGAATTATTTCCCAGTTGAGTTTTTCAAGAATATTTCCGAATCTAAGAGAGATAGCGAAATTTTCGTAATTACATTTGTTGTAGCTCTCAATGGGCTCTACAAAAAAAGTTATAACAAAAATTTTGCTATCTTCCGTAGATTCCGAGATATTCATTGAAAATTGGCCAATAGTCAAAATGGACTTGTACCAGTTTACCACTTCGCTACTGAATTTAACACATGTGGACTAATGACATAATAAAATTGAAAAAATGGAGTTTACACTGACAGACAAAAACATGCTTTCAAACGAGTCTTGTTTCAGCTAAAAGAATTGCAAGTTGAAAATAACTAAGAGTAAGAAATCTCGCGCTGAACGTTTGAAGAGTGTCCCGAGGTGAATTAAAAGTTTGTCTTAAAAATAAATTTAGTTCCAAACTTTAGGCGATGGGTAATGATTGTATGTACCTAGAGATTTGATCGAAGAATGCAGCAGCTTCACTCTCAACTGATTGAATTTCAGCTAGGGTGTCCTCTTGGATTGAAACACCGAAATTGTTACCATCCTCGATTTTGGGGATCATGAAGGAAATCCACATTTTCAACTGCAAAATTACAGAAATAGGAATTAGGATTTGATCAATAGCGATTGAGTAATTGTTTATACACTTTGTTTCGAAGAATTTTGATTTTGTAATTATATTTATAAAGAAGAGATGGTAATGTGGACAAATTGCAATGCAAATTGCAATTGCATAATCTAGATTCATCACAGAGAAGAAGAGTTCTACTTTTTCAGGAAATAAAATTATCTCGTTACATCAACAATTCAATGAATCGTTAATATTTCGAAAAAATCCAGTGTCCATTTTGCCTGATCCCAGTAGTTTCCCCTCAACTTATGAATAAAACACGTACCAAATTGGAGTCTTCTAGTAGTTGGATAATATACGGTTTAACTATGCGAACGATATCACAAAGTGGTTTGTTGCAGGGTATCGGTCCAGTGGGCAAAGCCAAGACTTCCGTACCCGACGCATCATCAGCACTATTTTCCACTGGTTCTAGCTTAATCCTCTTGTGCCGGTGTCCATCTTCGGAATGATTGATAGCGATTGGATCTGGAATGGGTACATTGAGCTCCTGGTGAACCTCAGTCAAATTTCGATTGCAGAAGTTCGGGCTCTCCAGGAGTTCATTGAGCTTGACAATTTTCTCAGGGAATCCCTTCAGGAGGAGCTGCTCAGCCTTTGTCTTCAAAGAATCCTTGTATTCTTGAACCTAAAATCGAATCCGGGACAATTAATTGTCTTCAGTTCTTAATTCTCCCAACTTCCGCATTCGCACCCGATTTATCGTGGCTATAGAGACGTATTGATTTGCAGTCAGCGACAAAATCCTCGGACGACTGGGAATCATGTCAGGAGTGAATCAAAATTGCAGGGAATTTAAATGAATGCATTGATTTGGTAATTGTGGTCAATCGAGTGATATTTATTTCAGGGTTAGAGCGATGTTCACTTGACAGATTTTCGCCATGAAAATTCAAAGATGGAGTCATCAGAATGTGTAAGTAGATATCCCTCAAGCAGCATTAAAAAATCCCCCAAGAAAACCGCATTGAGGATGTCCAAGTATCTTTTACAGGTTCAATCATCAAATTTGTCAGTTAAATTGCGTGAGAAAGATTTTAAGAAAATCATGGATGTTCAACGTCATTCAAATTCCGTTTTGCACAGAATTATTTTTTTTTAACATTTGCTGTTTATAAATAAATAACTGAAATTCTTTGAAGTTTTGAAAACCGGGTTTTTTAAGCATAACATCGATTTCTGGTAAAATTCTGAATAGGAATGAATTGGTTTCGATTCCGAAGAAATTATTTTTATGGTGGACAATTGATTGTGTATAAAATATTTCCAAAAAATGCTCGTAACTTTCAAAAATTGCAATTTTTTAATTGTTTCATCAAATTTCCTCCAAAGTAAACTTCCCAAGTTCCTTTCAGATTTTAAAATGTTTTCTATTGATGTAATATCGAGATTGAAATTCAGATGTCCAAAGTTTAAATAAAAAAATCATTGTGAAATGTCCGGAAAATTAGGGTTAAATTGGGTTCAAATGAAAGCTCTGATGTTAGACTCCAAAAGTAGAAAAGCACTGAAAAAAAATAGCTAAAGCACTTGGATATCCTTAATCAGTACCGTCGTTGATACTATCTCCTCGCATGCAAGCCTAAATTTATCTCCACACATTTGATATGAATCACCCAACAAGGCCCTCCTTTGTGTCAAAGAATGTTTCCTAAATATACATACGCAAACATTTTCTCAGAACATCAAGATATAACGACTAAATTATTCCAAAAAAACACGTGGAATGTTCTCGAAAAACTGCGTAAAATCACTGAGACACGGTAGTCAGGGGTTTTTTTCATCATCGATAGACATGTGAGGTTAGAATTGTCCTGCGCAATCAATAACTCAACGCTGCATTCAGCGAAACAATTCAAGCATCGACAAATGCATTCGCATTGACACGCGAATTCCCATCGGAAATAATCCACCAAAAAAGATCCATAAATTATAAGTGTTTACCACGTTTGAAGGCAGCATCGTAAAAACACAAACAATAGTCTTCGAATGCTACAGCACTGCCGGTCGATGGATAACAACACTAACCTGACTGAATGCTCATTCTCAACAATCTCAATGCGTTACAACACAATTCAAACAATCAAACAAACAAACAACTGATAAATCCATCTAGATTACGAATTATTCTACCTTTTTAGCTGTTGCATCGGCCATTATATCTATTTGTATTTTTAAAAAATGAGAAAAAATGAGAAAATATAACCACACTAAAAAGCCCTTTGTTGAAACGTGCAACTTCAAACAGGAAGCGTATGCTAGAAATAACGGAGTCAGTTTCGGAATTAATTTTCAAACAATAATCGAAAATCACGTGAACGGGAGTTTCAAAAAATTGTAAAAAAAATTTAGCGCCTTCTTTCACCAAATTACCGCTCCAAAAACGTCTTAACACGTGAAATATGATTTGTTGACAATAGCGGGAATTTCAAATTTGAATTTTCTTGGTGTAAATTTAAGGGGACAAGTTCTTCCGAGCGGTTGGGGGAAGATGATTCAGGAAAACATGATGAAAAGGACCTGTACTACCTTCCAAGTGAGGTTGCCATTCATAATACCCCAGAGGACTGTTGGGTATCCTATTTGTACGTCGTCTACGACCTCACTGAACTCTGCAAAACCTGGCGAGATACGCGAGAGATATGTCCTGTAATCGCACACGCTGGCAAAGACATAAGCCACTGGTTCGATCATTCACGAGGGGATATTAAATACCACGTGCACCGAGTGACCGGTGCGTTAGTGCCGTTTTGTCCCCATGGACCGATACCGCATGTAGGTACCACCTCGCCTACCTCCAGTTGGCGTCCAGTTGAGAGGTGTCCCTGGTGGCTCGATGATAAGTACAAAAAAGGAAGATTGACAAAAAATCCACGACCATGCAGGATCATCAATACCTTAACTGGATGTAGAACGATAATATCGGTGAGTAGATGGCTCAATTCTCTGTATAGAGACATATGGCGCTGAATATGGCGAACGAGTTTAGATGAATAGGTTCAATTTTTTGTTTCCTCAATGCACGCACCCGGAGGGATGAGGAAGGCTTAAATAAAATCTAGAATCCTCTCAATAGAATAAGTTGTATAGAATATTTTCTGTTAAACATTTCTCTAGAATCGGCCGAAAACTAATCGAAAGTTTAATAGGAATCCAATAGAATTCTCTAGCGAATTCGCTAGATTTTTCTATTACAATTTTTCGTGCATGACCTAATCGAGTCCGACTGAATTTTCGTGTTGATTTAAATTCTTACTATTGTGAAGCGAAGAAATAACTCAGTATCATTGAAAACTGTGCGTGCGCCCTTATACATTGTTAGAATTTTTTTGAAATTTCATGGAAAATATGAGAGTGATCCTCATGAGATTGACATTGAATCGGATTTAGGGGAAAAATGGTTATGAAATTTCAAGTTCTAGGTAGAATTCAAGGAAATTCATGAGTTATCAGTGGGAGCGAGATGGAAATTTCACAACTTTATTGAATTTCCAGTGGAACATGAATATTCAGAAACAAAATGACATGAATTTTCCATTTTTCCCTGAATTTTTTATATTTTCACAGAATAGGGGAGGGTGGGGCAAAACGGCCCCCCTTCAATTGTTAATAACTTGTGAATGACATTGTGAAAATTCCCAGTTTCAACTTCATTTTGAAGATAATTTTTCATTCTTCAAAACGAGCTCTAACTCATCCCAATCNGGCAAAACGGCCCCCCTTCAATTGTCAATAACTTGTGAATGACATTGTGAAAATTCCCAGTTTCAACTTCATTTTGAAGATAATTTTTCATTCTTCAAAACGAGCTCTAACTCATCCCAATCGGATTATTGAATCGGAAAATATTGACGATTGAAGGGGGGCCGTTTTGCCCCATCCTCCCCTAATTGAACTGAAAAATCAAGTATTTTATTGATTTCTAGATTATTAGAACGGAAAATCAACGGAATATTTGATTTTTCAACGACAAGATTTCCTGAAATTTCAGTGGAACTTGAACACGACAAAAATTTCCGGAATTCGGCAAAAATTCAGACAAAAATTTTCAACAGTGTACTTTCACATCGCCTTATACTTAACCATCATCATTGGAATAGGTCTGTGAGGAAGATACAATAAGACGAATACAGGAGAGATTTTTGTCATTCAATGCGAATGGAAGGAATTACGACTGGAAATTCGAGGGCAAAGATATAGACATGAATAAAACCCTGACGGAGAACGGTATTCCAGACGAGCGTGAGCGTTACACAGAGTGCGGTCTACCCTCCAACATCTACGTCCCCAGTCTCCTCTGTTACTACCGAGATGAACCAACCCGCGGTAACGATGATTAGTCGATAAATGGACATGCTGAACTCGTTCATAACACTGACTTGAATAAAACAAAAACTTGAAATAGTTATTGAAAAACAAGTTTTTCATTTGTATCAACGATGTGAAAATACGTGAGTTTGGTATGCTGTCTATTTTATTTTTCCCTCCATTTCACATTTGAAATAAAACGTGGACGTATGTTCGTGTCCTCGGCCGAGGTTGACGGAACGTCGGTCAGTAATGCCTACCTTCTGTGGTATGGCAGACGTTTATTCGTTTCTTTTTGTCATCCACCTTCTCGTTGTGCTTTTTCATTCCTTTTCCACATGACCATCATCATCATCCTAGCTTGCCACTGGAACACGCGTCTCGAGGTCACCAGGCATTTTACCGTCATTATGAGGTATAACCACGTGACACGATACCACGACTCTGTACATCACCTACAATTAGATTCATTATATCATTCCGTTGTGAGAGTTGGTCAGGGAATAAATGTGAAGGAGGAGAAAAAGGGTGGGATGAAAACACGAGGAATTTCTAATTTGTTGGATTAATGACGCTAATTCGGATAACGATTTCCACTTGGTGGGAAAGGTGTTTGTTTAGAATACATTGAGAGATATTGACATAATATCACAAAATTAATTCCTTGCGTATTTACTTACATGAAGAAACTCATGGTTTGAAAGTTTTTGAGAGCAAAATATCTTGCACTAAAAAAAGTGTCGTCCAGAAATTTTGCACTTGTCCTAAAGACAAGGACAACACTGTCAGAATTTTTTTGAAATTTCATAGAAGACATTATAGTTAATCTCATGAGAGTGACATTGAATTGGAGTTAACGAAAAAATGGTTATGAAATTTCAAGTTTCAAGTAGAATACTGACATAATATCACAAAATTAATTTCTTGCGTATTTACTTACATGAAGAAACTCATGGTTTGAAAGTTTTTGAGAGCAAAATATCTTGCACTAAAAAAAGTGTCGTCAAGAAATTTTGCACTTGTCCTAAAGACAAGGACAACACTGTTAGAATTTTTTTGAAATTTCATAGAAGATATTATAGTTAATCTCATGAGAGTGACATTGAATTGGAGTTAGGGAAAAAATGGTTATGAAATTTCAAGTTTCAAGTAGAATTCACGGAAATTCATGAGTTTTCAGTGGGAGTGAGATGGAAATTTCACAATTATATTGAATTTTCAGTGGTACATGAATATTCAGAAACAAAATGACATGAATTTTCTATTTTTCTGAAATAAATGTGAGAGAAAGAGAGAGAATGTGGTGGAAGAAAAACCCAAGGAATCTCTAATTTGTTATATTGACGACATTAATTCGAATAGCAATTTCCCCCTCAGTTCCGATCAGGTGGGAAATTATCGTAGGACTCGAGTTGCCTCGAGGGCCGACGGGTTGAATCGGCTGTGTGGCCATCCAGTAACTAGATACCAATCAGTGTGTTTGTTATCGTTGGAGAAATCTTCCTATTTCAAGACCCTTTTCTTCCGTATGTGTTTAGCATGGTACACAGCTCAGCGGAAATCGTGTATATCCATTGCAAGTTTAAAAGCAATACGGTCTTTGCCTCTGTTGTATTGCAGAAGTGGGGTTTCGCACACAACTTTTCACGCAATAAAATGCCCAGTGAACGCCTGGACTTGGACGTGAACCCTTGAACCTGACGGTTAACAAGGGGTCGGGGCTCTGCCAGAATTGGAGAGAGATAGAGGTTTATACGCAATGCGGGGAACTAGACAGCCCAGGAATTTCACGTCCAATCTTGAGTGTTTGTGTGCATATCGGGGATTTTATTACTACCAGCGACTATCCAATGCTCGGAAATAATATTGTAGATGAGTGGATTTGGTTAGTTTTTTTGGGAGGAGTGAATACAGTGTAGGCACGACAATAATTTAATAGAAAAATTTACACAGAGTGAATTTACAATAATTCAGAGACAAAAAGTATTGGACTTGAGGGAAATTCCTCTGAGAATTAGAGAAAAAGTTGTAGTTTCTCAGACGGAGAAAAAGTTGCGGTGAACGGGTCATGGAAATGTCATCAAAATTACCCTGTTTGAGTTAATTCGCTGATGGAAGTTTTCGACGAGACACGGTCAAATCGAGGTAATTTACCGCCAAAGGGTGAAAATGTGAAAAAGTGTCAGAAACCTAATTACAGAGAAGTTACACCGTAATGAATATCACAAGTCAATACTACACTGTTAGAAATAAATGAAATTTCAGGGACAGTTGACTACTAATTTTCAAGACAGTGACACTGAATGTGATTTAGGGGGAAAAAATAATGAAGTTTCAGGTTTCACTGAAATTCACGAGAATTTCTTAATTTATTTGAATTTCCAATCTAGTACGAATATTCAGGGTCAAATTACATTGAATTTTCAGTGAAATCATGAATTTCATGATTTTTCTGCTCCGAAATCGCGTTCAGTGTCACTGTCCTGAAAATTTCAGAACATATAATAAATTTTATCCTTACAGTCCAATAATTTTTATGTAGATAACAACGAAAATTCTAGAACGGTTGGTAAATTTTACCCTACCGGTACAGTAATTTTCACTCTACCGGCACGATATAAAATTTCTTTAACGTAGAATAAAATTTCATTATCATATATTAATTTTTCCTAAATTTCGGGATAGAAATGAGGAAACGATGACTCATGATACACTTTTATAGAACGGTAGGCTAATTTTTATCAAAAATTTCTCTCCGTGTGGATCAGATTTACTCGAGGGAAATTAACCAACTCGATGGAAGGAAATTTAATATCTTCCATAAAACTTAAATTTTTGTCGTGACCATCAGAAATATCCCCAGAAGAATTCGAACAGTTGTATACAATTTTTCGGCCGAACAAATTTTTTTCTCTCAGTAAACTCGACGCACCGCCGCTCTTCTAAAAATTGTCACTAAACTCTCCATAAAAATCAAATTTTTTTAAACCGCAAACATTTCACTGAATTTCGGCCGAGAATCCATAACGCTCGTTAACTCGATCTTCCACCGGGAAAAAGTCCCCGCAGTACCCCAGTATTAGTCTCCAAGGAAGCAATTAATTCACGGTAAAAGACTTTTACTCAGAAACAAAGATGCAACCTCATAATTCATACCGTACCCCAGCAATTAATTATGGCAGTTTCGTTGGCATGCGTTGCCTCCTCTACATCAACATTCGGTATAACGGAGGATCCCTCAAACGGAAGTGTAACTCTATCTCGACCCGATCAATCTCATATGAACGGCTACGATCAATTTAATTACGAATTGACTGGCATTCCTGTAGACACGGCCCATTCACTCTTAATTCCCTCATTTTTCCACGGACATTCAATTATTCAATTACAAAACAAACAAACGTGACCTTCGACATACTTTCCAATTGTTTTCTTCTCAGTTGATGCATTTCGAGAGAATCACTTAGCATGCCAACATTTAAATTCACTTTCCACCGGTGATTTTATACACTTTTTCAAGACATTTGAAACCTTGAACAAAGTACATTCCATTGAACTTTTCCCTCATGACAATTTCCGGAAATTCCGCGGTATTTTTAACCAGCCACTTGTTTTTCCCTTTCTTGTCGACAATTCGTAGTTGATTCAGCAGAAGTTGGAATAGTTTAAACTGAACATGTGAATAACCCCTCGATTGAGATAAAATCGCAATGACCATTACCATGTATCACCAGTTGTTTCAGCTCACTCAACGAGTTGTATATTTATGAATTATTTAAAAGCGACCTCACGCGTTAGTAATCAGGTTTTGTGCGTAAGGCTGCCCGCCCGCCACCGCATTGATAGCAGTGAATATCAGGGTTGGGCATGACTCGCTGATGGAAGTTTTCGACGTGACGCGGTCAAATACAGGTAACTTACCGATAAGGGGTAAAAATGTGAAAAAGTGTCAGAAACCTACTTAAAGAGAAGTTACACCTTAAGGGGTAACAGAAGGCCAAGGTTTCCTGGAAATTTTCAAACTAATTTCTTGCTCAAAATTGGTAATATTTTTCGAACCCAAAGATCAACTGATACTTCCACATGACACTATCAAAATTGCTGATGAGAAATATCACCGAAACCAGTAAGAATGCACATTCAGGATTGTTCGTAGAGACATCGACCTGAATCCATTTCCCTCTCGTGATTCTTGGAAACAGATCAGTGTCTTCTGTCAATGGACAGACATGTACGCAACAAAATGATGTATATCCGCGTCGAAGATTGATGGATCATTTATCAATCCAACTAGTCGTATCAGAATGCGTTAATGCAATTCCAACCAGTTCTATTCTGAAACTATTGAGCGATAGGAGCAGCTGAATGATCCAGATGTTCCTGGAAATGTGCAGTTGTCGCAAATGCGTATTAATAATTTTTCATTTGAAAAGATTGAAATTGGTTTACGGAGGTATTGAATGCCTGGTGAACAGAGAAATCCTTGACACTAATATAACTTCCTAGAAACTCCAATCACTGGTAGAATACCAGGCATTGTTTAGAATGATAGTTACAGTTCAAAGGAACACAGATGTGCAATTAAATGAGGGGTTTATATGGAAAATGGGTCAATTAGGACTGGATGGGTTACGCCTATTGGCCTATTACGTGCGTATTATCTTGATTAGGATTGTATTTGTGAGACTTGAAACGTTTGCACAATCTGTCTCAGGGTTATGGGGGGTCACACGATACTGAAACAATATATCGCAATTAGCTTGTGATTGTTGTTGAGATTTATTATGAAAGGTGCTCACTAATCAATTTGACCTCTGGAAATGCCTCGTGCGGATTCCAGTTGATATGTTCATTTGTTCGTTTCGTTTTTTCATTCAAGAAGAGATAACTCTTTGAATAAAGTTTTGAAGTAGAGGATGCAATGTCATTTTTTGAGGGGATCAGTTTGAACAGTTTGTGATACATGACGGAATGTGGGAATAACTAGGGAAAATCGCGGACCCGACCGATTCTGCCCCGTATAACGATGAAAAACTTCATTTTTTACTGTTTTTACCTTCAAAATGCTCTTTGCGCCGCCGTTTTCAATCGATTTTACCTTTTTTTAAATGTACACTCCAAAGAATAAAGTTAAGCTTCCGTTTTACTTTAGTCGCAATAGATCATGAATAAATAAATTTTGAATTTCGTAAATTTTTCGCGTCTCTAGATTTTTGCTCCAACCTGCCATTTTTTTGTTCATAAAAATTATATTACGCATGATTACAATGTTCAATTACTAAGAACAATGAATTTTTACTCCTACGCTAGAGAATTCAGTAAAAATTCCAGAATTTTGCAACTCACCGAATTTCACAAGCGAAAATCCTTAATAACGGAATGAATCCCTGAAAATTAGTGACATCTCCCTGAAAATAAAAACTCATTTTCTCTGTAAAAATGACAGAGACGATGACTGAATGATTTTCTCCCAAAACTAGTGACATCTTCCTGAAAATAAAAACTTATTTTCTCTGTAAAAATGTCTATCACTCCGACAGGTCTTTCTCTCCCTCTCCCTTCATCACTTCCCACGAATAAATACCTCCAATTTTTCGTGAACGTAATCCAACACCTCCCCCCCAATTCGTCACCACCTCGTTTCAGTAATGCGGCTCTCAGCATCCCCGGTATAGACCTCCTAATTAACAAAGTCATACATTGAAGTTGTGGAATGCGTTCCATGAAAGTCAAGACCATTGAGTTGAAGCAGACTTCTGTGAGAAGCGTGCCACACGATATCACCCTCCTCCCCCCCCCCCCCC